TCGTTACCCATGAGATGTTGTTGTAGCCACGCGGGGAAAGTATCAATGTGATGCCGTGTAATCCACGCATCGGACTAACCGATGTTTCTGGCGTGAACTAGAGCCAAGTGCTCCTCGATGTAAGGAGCTACCAATGAAGATTGTTGCAGAACCGTGAAATGGGCTTTACAGAATAAATTGTTGTCTACCGTCATTATTGCTTTCCTTCCGAGAGTTCCCTTTCCCCGTAGTCTCCCTTCATGGCGTGATTCAGGTACCCCGATTGGGCGAAGGTCTTCAATAAATTCTACGCAAAATTCGATGACCTCCTCTGTTCCATACCCTTTGGCGATGCTTGCCTCTGGACGAGCACGGTTACGAACGTACTTCTTCAGAACGCCCATGTACCTCTCGAAAGGAAACATGTTGTGTAGGTATACAGGCCCGAGAATACTGATCTCTTTGACAAGGTGACAAAGCAGATGTGTCATTATATTGAAAAATGAAGGTGGAAATATCAACTCAAAACTGACAAGACATTGTACCACATCATTCTGAAGGGCTTCTAATCTATCCGGATCGATGACCTTCTGTGAAATTGCGTTCATGAAAGCACATAGCTTTGTTATTGTTGCCCGGACATTGTCTGGAAGGATACCCCTTATTACAACTGGTAGCAGTTGTGTCATCAACACGTGACAGTCATGAGACTTTAGGTTTGTGAACTTCTTCTCCTTCGTGCTTATTATTCGCTTGATATTCGTGGAGTATCCAGACGGTACCTTTATACTCTCCAAGCATTCAAACATACTTTCATTCTCTGCCTTGCTAAGAGTGTAGCTAGCTGGACTCAAGTAATGGCTTCCTTTCTCCTTTCGTTCCGGGTGAAGGTCGCTGCGTTGTTCCATATACTTCAGATCATTACGTGCTTCCAGTGTATCTTTCGACTTTCCATATACACCTAGGAAGCCAAGAAGGTTTACGCAAAGGTTCTTAGTGAGGTGCATCACGTCGATTGCGTGGCGGACGTCCAAGAATTCCCAATAGGGTAACTCCCAAAATATAGAGTTCTTTTTCCACATCGCCGCGTGACCATCTTCGCTCTCTATAGGCTGGCTTCCAGGCTCCTTTCCGAACACTACTTTAAGATCTTTAACCATAACAAACACCGTTTTCCCGCTGTGATGTTTAGGCTTCGTACGGTGGTCCGCCTTATGTTCAAAGTGCTTGCCTTTCTTCCGTACCGGGTGGTTTGCAGCAAGGAATCGACGATGACCCATATACACAACCTTCCTACAGTGCTTAAGATACGTACTTTCTGTTTCATCCATACAATGAGTGCAAGCCTTGTACCCCTTGTTGGACTGACCAGAAAGGTTGCTAAGTGCAGGTCAATCGTTGATGGTTACGAACAGCAGCGCTCGTAGGTTAAACTCCTCCTGTTTGTCCTCGTCCCACACGGGGACACCTTCCTTTTTCCACAACAGTTTAAGATCTTCGACCAGTGGTCTTAGGTACACATCGATGTCATTACTAGGTTGCTTGGGGCCTTGAATAATAATCGGCATCATTATGTACTTCCTCTTCATGCATAGCCAGGGGGGAGGTTGTAGATACACATCGTAACGGGCCAAGTGCTATGGCCGCTGCTCATCTCTCCAAAAGGATTCATGCCATCTGTACTTAAACCAAACCGTATGTTTCGTACGTCCTTTCCAAAGTCTTTTAAATTTTCTGTCAATGTTTCGCCACTGCGAACCATCGGCGGGGTGTCTCAGCATCCCGTCCTGTTGACGCTCTTCAGCGTGCCATCGCATCATTCTAGCATTCCCCTTGTTCCTGAACAAACGCCTTAGCCGTGGTATTATAGGGAAATACCACATCACCTTAGCAGGAATTCTCTTCTTTGTTAGCTGCCCGTCAACTTCTCCTGGATCGTCTCGTCTAATCTTGTATCATAGTGCTTTGCAAACAGGGCAAGCTTCTAGGTTCTCGTACTCCTCACCGCGATATAGGATACAATTATTCGGACATGCGTGAATCTTCTGAACTTCCAGTCCTAGAGGGCAGACTATCTTCTTAGCCTCGTACGTTGTCTCGGGCAATTTGTTTCTCTCCGGAAGAATGTTCTTGAAAAGTTTCAATAAATCGCCAAATGCCTTGTCACTAACACCATTTTTTGCCTTCCATTGCAAGAACTTCAGAGTGGTATCCAATTTTTTGTGCCCCTGCTCGCAACCTGGGTACAATGACGTTCTGTGGTCCTCCGATTTGTATATAATCACCAAAATAAATTTACTAGAAATTTTGGCATGACCTCCCCTCTTTTTTGAAGAAATTTTGAAGCTTGCTGACAAATGTTACTAAAAATCCCATTATATTCCCCGCAAAAAAAAAATCCCATTATATTTAGTCTTCAAAACAGCTAGACCTTTTTAAGGGAGGATGGTGTTGCGCTAAAATGTACTCCGTAGTACTCCCTCCAATCCAAATTGATCTACATATTTCATAGGTACACAAATACCAAGAAAAGCTAATAACTCTCTCATACTATATTTACTCTAGCAACAAACTCAATGCATGCACCATCCCACTATTTCTTAGCCAATAGCAAATCAAGATATTGCATGTGGGTTATAAATACTTGTGTGCATGGATGCATGCATCAATGTCCATTTACTCCAATGCACAAATAACGAATAGACTTAATGAATGAACACAAATATGATGATCATTTAGAAATAACCTCAAAAAACTACATGTAGATCAATTTGGAATGGAGGTAGTAATGAATTTACAGTTGAGACTTTACACAACACGCATATCAAGGAAATAATGTTAGTGGGTGTTTGGGAGTGAGAAACTTCCTCTCTCCGAAAAATAAGTCCCTCCTATACGGACTAAAATTTTTGTGAGAGGGAACTTTAGTCCCTCCTTCCCAAACCCCACCTTAGTTGATCTGGACAGTGTGTGCACGTGGTACATTTCTCTTTTATTCCCAAACACCGCCTTGGTTGATGTGGACAGTGTGTGCACGTGATACATTTCTGTTTTAGTACGATATTGGTAGGCTAATTCCTTTGCAAAACCAAAAGCATTTTTTTTCAGTTCCACCTGAGTTTTGAAGCCGAAAAATGTTCTAACTTATAAACTAAAAGGCCAGCTTATTAACATCATAATTGAAAAGGCTAATAAACCAAAACAAACTGGCCCTTAGTGATCAGTGTAATGGTGGCCTAGCTAATTTTATTTAGTACTAATTTCTCAAATGTCGCAACTAAATGGCAGCAGCAAAATGTAGGTACGGCTCTCTTCAAGTGATTGTGTGCTTTAATTGCTACAAGGATTGTAATCTGTCCGTGCTGTCGGCACTGCAGTTAATCATTGCCGTTAGTGGCTTCACAAAAGATAAGCCAATATATTAAGTTAGCAACCGTAGCAAGACACGTACAATAAAAAGGAAACATTTTTGGGACCAAATGTACTTCGCGATGACAATTATATTAGTGGTGTTATTAGCATCCAATGAGTGACCAACATTACTGATTGAGTGTGTTGCAATTAAATTCATAAATAGCCGCGTAAGCAGCTACAGTTGTTTGCTTAAATGAGCCCAAATGTACTTTTGTCATTGCTAATTCCCTCTCTATTGACATTTGTACAACTTTTCATGGAAAACATTCTATGATTTAACACCAGCTGATTTTAGCTTGTGATGATTTTATTTGTATGTTTCAGAAACATAAAAGTACAGCAGAGCAAAATGAAACAGAATGACCAAGGTCATCGGCCAAATGTCTGGTTTAATTTTAGTATAAACCGGTCAGTACTCATCACTTTTTGGGTAAGGGTCTCAACATTTTAACCTTGGTCATAACCAGAATCAGTAACCTTTTCTCCGCCAAAAAAATAGTACTACTCCATTATTTTTTTTCTTTTATTTCACGCTGACCCATTAATCATGCATGCCTAGTTTCCAACCAATTAACTCTACGACGTAGAGTGATTAATAAGAGTCGAACACGATAAAATTTAGCTAGTTCTCTCAACCTCTCAACCTTTTGGTTATGACACTAATACGACATGTTAAGGTTATGATTTACATACTGAGACTTAGGCCATGTTATTAATTTTTGAATTATTCATCGCATTATTAAAATGGATTGTGTGTGCATGCTTTGAAATATATGTTTTTTCTTTTCAAATAAATTTCTCCTGCCTGTTTGTTAATATTATTTTGTAACAAAATTTATTCATTCTTATAATCAACTAGATAATCCACTACAATAATCTAAAATAAATGAAACGGGGCCTTAAAAATCTTAATTTGTTGAGGGAAAGTTGCCATTATTAATAACCAGGCCCGTACATTCACCTCCATAAATCATAGTACTATTTATGTCCTCAACATATACAAACATCGTGAAATTACTTTGTTGTACTAAGAATAAGTGCATTGTACAAAAAGAAAACCGTGACAAAACATGAAGCAACAAAGGAATTCAAGCACCAGATCTAGAGAGCTGGAAAAGATGAATTGAAGATCGATCTAGCTAGGCTGTGATATGTATGGGACAGGTTGACAGAATCACATGTAGAAGCTAGGTCTCTTTCTCACAACAACAGTGATCTTTGCATTGTCCATGAACAGCTAAGCACAAATCAATGCAGCCTCACTTTGTAGTTGCAAGCCACTACAAGGTACTCTGTTCTTGCTCCTCAATAAAAACAGAGCCCAACTAACACTGCCTACTTCCCTGCCAACTACTCACAAATGTGGCATTCAGATAAAGGCAATCCTGAAATAGGCTTGAACAGAGCAGAATACATTTGTGTTTTACAGAGACATTTAACAATTAATCAAAGCAAGGGATATAGTGCAAAGTTAGTACAAATTAGAGTGAGGAAGAGTGAAAATCTTGCATGGAAAAACAGAGTAACAAACCTAACAAATCAGTTGACTTGTAATTCAGTGAAAAATTTACACTACCTGGTAATTGCATTGCATATATCAAAGATGATAGAACAATCCATGTACTAGGCCGGCCCTAACAATATAACTGCACTTTAAAGCTCGTAACAAGAAGCAAATGGTAGCTTTTAATTTACAATCCAACCAAAGAAAAAAAATTAAGCTAGGGGACAGATCGTTACAGAGGTTTGGCACCACTTAGAATCAATGAATTCAACACTTCTTTACAGTTTCACTCGGCAACAAATCAACAAAATACCCCAAACCCAAGAACAAAAATGACTATATCTCACTTGTACATATATGTATATATATAAACATGTAGACCAAATTTATCTTATAACCCCTCTCTCTGTATATATTCCATCTTCTGAGACCCCAGAAAAGAAGAAAACTGCACAGATCCTCAATTAATTTAATATTTTTGGACCTTTATGCAAAATTTCTCTCTTCTTCTGTCCCAGCAAGATGCACATGAACTTGATCAATTCCTTTTAATTTCCAGTAATTTAATTATGATCTACACAATTTTGTTGATTTCAAGAAGAAATTAAAATTATGCCAACCATGGATGATTAATTTTCATCTCATTCTACCAGCTAATAGCTCTAGCTTAATTTTTTTTCAAACTCAGTTGAACTTGGAGCAGACTTTCCTGACCTCGCCGGCGGCGCCGGTGAGCACGCCGACGCTCCCCATCTTGACCATGGCGTCGGCGAAGTCCTGGCGGAAGTAGGGGCCGAAGAAGGCGCTGAGCATGCTGGAGTAGGTGTCGACGACGCCGACGGTGGCCGTGGCGTTGTAGAGCGCGGCGTCGGAGGCGATGACGGCGAAGCCGTTGCGGATGTTGCGGAGGATGGAGGTGTCGAACTCGGCCTCGCTGCCGCGGTCGAGCGGCAGCCGCGTGTTGAAGTCGCCGGGGGCGCACCGGGACTGGAGCTCCGAGAGGAACGCCTCCGGGATCGACGGGTCCGCGCCGCGGCCGCCGCCGGCGAGCGGGAAGTTGTACAGCCTGTCCTGCAGGAAGAAGCACGCCGTCGTCCCCACCGTGTGCGCCGCTGCAAACAAAAAACAAGAGTTCGTCGCCGTCGCCGGCCATGGTTAGGTTAGTGTGCTCGACCGCCTCGACGCCATGGTTGGCAATGCAAGGAGTCAAGAAGAAGATGAGGCTTACAGCTGAGGAGGACGAGGTCCTTGTCGTCGAGGCCATTGGCGGCGAACTTGGAGCGGAGGACGTCGATGGAGTCCTTGACGTCGGGGAGCACGTCGGCGTCGCGGAGGCTCGACGTCCGCCCGTCGCGCCGCCCCGTCGGCACGTCGAACGACGGCCCACCCGTCTGCAAACAACAACAACGGATCATATCAATCCATGTCACCGAGCTAGGCAGTACAGTGCACAGCGACGGAGCCTGAAAGATTTTTTGAGCCCGAACAAAATTCAAATATAACAAGTACTTGTTATAGAAATTTCATCATCAATTTACTCATAAATATTAAAATTTAAAGGAGTTTTCGCCGGCGCGGTGGGTGGACGTACGAAGGCGATGGCGTCGCGGGAGGCGAGGACGACGATGTCGGCGCAGGAGACGACGCCGGGGCACTCCGACTCCAGCTGCTGCTTGATGCTGTCCACCACGTCAAGCCCACGCAGCCCCTGGTGCTTGTTGTTGTTCACCTCCGCGTTATTCCCCACTCCCTTGATCAGCACCGACCCATCACACCCCTAATTAACCAAAAATATTATAATAGAAAATTAATTAAACTTAATTAAAATTCTAACAAAATATATATCACAATTGAAAAAATTATAATTTATTGTAATATTTTTATGTATATGTACCTTGGCGAAGCAGTCGTGGAACTGGAGACGAACAAGGGCGGGGAGGATGGTGCTGTCGGCGTCGGCGAACTGCCGGACGGCGGAGGCGACGGTGGATTCAGCTGTAGGGCATGACTTGGAGTAGAACCCCACCTTCAGCTGCGCATTGCTGACGGCGGCGCCGGCGACGAGCACCGCCGCCACCAGCAACATCGCCGGACCACCACCGCCACCACCACTCCTACCCATCTCAACCCAACAAGAAGAGATTTCAGAGAGATATCTAGCTAGCTAAGATAGCTAGAATGGAGAAAGAAGAAGGTGAGGAGGTAGGAGGTCGGAGGTCCAGCTGGGAACTGCGTTGAAGAGCTTTTATAGGGTTTTCTCCTCCATGGGTGGGGGTGTAGTACATGCAATGGATGGATGGATCATGGACAGGAATTATGTTTGCACTTTCTCGCAAATGGCGCCAAGCTGTAACACATGTGGTTGCGCGTTACACGATTTGACTTGAGTGAAGTCCCATCGTTTCGCTACAGTTGATTACAAGCCGTAACACTTATTAGTGAAAAAAAATATTTAATTATGGATAAAACTTTTGTAGCATTAGGCACGCTCTTAGAAATTTAAAAGCTAATACATTAGAAAATAAATTACGATGGAAATAAAATCAGAACCAACTCTAAAATTAAGATTTAAAATTCAAATTTTGGCTACGGATAATAAGCTAAAGAGCAATTGATGGAGTACTAGGTCCGACCTAGGAAATTAAAGTAGCTACAAAGTACACTTGTTTTTTTTTTTTGACATATGCTGCTGATTTGTTTTTTTTTTTCCCTATAACATGAAAATAAATCGTGTATATATGCTGACACTGAATCTACTGCTACTAGCTAGATACTCCAGTTTTCTGAATTCAAATCCTGCAGGTTACCTTCATGAATGCTATACACATGCATATACTATATACTAGTAATAGATATAGTACAGTACTATGCCCAATTTCAGAGCCAGAAATTTCCAGTGGACCATGGTTAATTGGCCCAAGCATGTACGCATGTGCACAGGTCACCGGAGTTATGTAGGACGGTTGATCGATGAAGCTTTTTCCCGGGCAGCAGATTGCCACTGCAAAACGGCAGTCAGCACGGAGAAAAGTAGCTGGTTTGTTCATGCATATGCATATGCTGGTCCTAACTGTGGTTGGCACCAATGGCTGGCTGAGAAAGAGCAAAGTAAATTCGCTCATGGAGTCAGGATAACTAATTAAACCAAAAGTATTTTTGCTATTGGGTCACATGAGTATGTCGGACATGGATTCATATATGCATGTTTAGGGCTTGATTGATTTGGAGAAGTTAGTGAGAATTGATGGCATATGCAGGCAACAGGTAGGCTGACTGCCTGAAGAATGGAAGTATCTGCAGCTGCATTTCTGAACTTGGAGATTTTCTGTTCAGAGGAGAGAAGAAACTTACTGTACATGGCTAGGAAACTTCTTGTCATCAGGGCAGTCATAGAGTTGCTTAGCTGGTGTTTGAGCCTGATTGCCTGACATCCATGCACATGCATGCTTGTTTTTTTTCAGCTTCTTTTTTCTTTCTAGGTTTGATTTTGACCTGACATTCTTCATCAGAGTCGTCAATTGCATACTAAATTAATATGTTTTCTTTTTTTTGAGAATTAATTAATATGTTTTTCTGGTTCAGTTAAATATACTCATGTGATTGAAATCTCAGAGGTGTCATTTTCACGAATGATCCACCATATACCATTAATTTGGTGTCATTTTCTCAGAGTCGGGGTCTCAGTTTGACCTAGGCTTCAAATCCAGGTCAAACCCTGTACTAGCTCCTATGTACACTTGTCAATAGTCACTAGCTAGGAACATGGTGTCACACAAACATTCCGTTAGTTTGCGAGAAAATAGTGTTCACGCAAATATTCTCCGCTTTCAATTTTCATAACTCTCAATTGCTGGCGGCCCGCGAATTCTCCCCCTTCCCCCTCTCGGCCAGCTTATTAGCGCAAGCGGACGCACCTTCAACCCGCCACTGATTTCAAATTGCAAACATCATTAAAAAAACTTTTCTGCAGTTCTAGACAAAAACTACTGATAATGCACTTGCTATGGATGATCACTTCATGATTCATCGTTCGCCTAATATTTTTAAAAATGTAAGCCCTCTTAGAACTTCTAGTTTTATCTCTTCTTCCATGCATGTTTGGCCTTATGAAATAAATGTCACCACTCTCACAACTAAATGACTTTTTTTTAGTCTAGTATAAATAAAGGATATGAAAGCTCTATCGGTTTGTTTTCTTAATTCATTGGAGAGTCTAAAACGAATTATATTTGAAACCATAGTAATACCCACTAGTGAAAAAAAAGTTTTTCCAGGCAGCCAAATGGCTCTACGCAACGCAAGCAAAGACTCTGCCATCAACTAAAGGCATGCGAAAAACGGTGTTTAAACCACATTCGTGGCCAAGGCATGCAACCCCTCGCCCACGACTATCCAGACGGGCGTTCGTGTCCGAAATACAGCCCGTCTGCACGGTGATGTGGGTATCGTTGTGAAAAATCGTTTTTTAAGTAGTGACTGATTAAGACTAAAATTTTATTTGGATCATAAATCAAGTTGCGATTAAGCAAGTGATTAACATTATTTATGTCCAATGAATTGAGAACACAAGCAAGCAACATATTGCGTCATCAATAGCCAAATAATTATATATACACATTAAAGAGAGAAGCTCCAAAGCTGACTGTGCACATATCAAATTATATATAAACCCCAAGCCGGCCAATTTAGCTGTGCCGATTGTGACTAGGCATCCACAGACAAGTATTTATTGTGCACATTATATTGGCTATCAATATATAGCATGACCATGAGTTGGGCCAAGCTTGCAAACTAGAGCTAGCTTAGCATAAGTGCACACGGCTGATTGATAACTCAACGGTTGCTCCTAGCTACTTCCACCGGTTGAACGGCTTTCCCATTTATTGCCCACGTTGCATGTCTCCTTCCAAATGTGTGTGTTAATTTGGAAGATTGCCAATGTGGTTTTATGCACGTTCACACTTCAATTTCTCGCGATTTCAATTTTTAGAGGTGATCCAGCTAAGCTATGCATGTTTGGAAAGGCCATTGCAACCGAAATAATGTGTAGAGGTTTTTTTTTTCTCTGGTAGAGGAGATAAAGGTATCTTTCTCTATGATCAAAAAGACTTATTTATTTTGATGTACAATGCACTAAATGATATTCTATTTCGCAACATTTACACGTTAATTGTTCTCTACTGCCGTAGAAAATAATAATATCAAGAAGTTACCTTAGCCATCTTAACTTGGCATCACAGCTTGTTTAAGCATATGTGTCTTTAGTTATTCTTTTTTTAAAAAAACAATTTAACCTCAAAAGTTGAAGATATATATAGATAGGTCGAAACGAAAAGGTATACACACCATGAATTAGAAAGCGCAAAAAATAAACGCAATTACAAATAATTCACTCTATTTTTAAAACATGACAAAACCATCCTGGTACGTTTTGCAGCGTGTCTATGAAACATATAACTTTGTAGATGAATATAAAAATGTTTCTAGAAATAGTGATAGAAAGAGAGTTCTGTACACTATATACTACTAGCTCTGTATTAAATAGATTCACCGTTGATTTTATTTGTTTTTTTCACAACTTTAACCACTTTTTTAATTAGAATAACTTTAATACATAAAAAAGACTGTAATATTTTAAAAATACTTATAAAGAAAAATCAATCAATATGAATTTTATGTAAAAATACTTATAAAACTAAATATTTTGATAGCATATATTATTATATGGAGTATTTAAATACAGAAGGAGTACTTAGTTTGCTTGGTAAAAAAAGAGAGTAAATTTTACAAAACTACAGATACTTTGACTAAATTATCACAAAACTACAGATTTAACATGATGTATCACAAGACTACAGATTTAACACTAATTTTATAACAAAACTACAGATTTAAGGTAAAATATCGCAAAACTACGATTTAGTAACAAAGTTATCACAAGCATACATGTTTAACTTCAATTTAATCACAAAACCTGGATATCTATAACTCAAACATTACATTACTGCAAAGGATCTAAATCCTAAAATCTGTAGTTTTGTGATAATTTTATTCTAAAATATGTAGTTTTGTGATAGTTAGTTTTAAACCTGTAGTTTTGTGATAAATTTATTGCTAAATCTATAGTTCTATGATATACGACCTTAAATCTATAGTTGTGTGATAATTTGGTCAAAGTATACGTAGTTTCGTGAAATTTACTTAAAAAAAAAAGCATCTTCTACTGATTATGCATGGACTGAGGAGGTAATTACAGTGTTATGGTGCATTAAAAGCTGCACCTAAGTCTCCGTGACGGCAGTTTCATTAATTAACTGTCAAACGGTTATTCACCGACAATATTTCAGTACCTAAAGTAACCTAACTGCCTCGGTGGTGGGTCCTTAAGCCAAGCGAATCTGTGAACTCGGAGATGTGTTATTTTCTCCTCATTTCTAACTTTGAATTATTTTTCACGCGCACGATTTCTAAACAGTTAATCACTATATTTTTTTTAAAAAAAATGATAGCAAAGTGATTGTAAAAATCATATTAATCCATTTTTAAAATTTTTAAGCCAATACATAATTAATTATACGCAGGAAGGGTTTCCAACTCAAAAGAACATAGTCAGAGGTTGTTCAAATTGACGCCGCGTAGCTAGCCCATCCGACGGACCCACTTACACATACCACTCCGCTTACACTTTCGTCCTTACTTCGTGTAAAAGGGTTAATCCGAGAGTGATATAGTTGTTCCGCTTACATTTTCGTCTTTACTTTATGTAAAAGGGTTAATCCGAAAGTGATATGGTGGTTCCCAACTCAAAAGAACATAGTTAGAGGTTGTTCAAATTGATGCCGCGTAGCTAGCCTATCCGATAGGCGGGCCACTTACATATACCACTCCGCTTACACTTTCGTCCTTACTTCGTGTAAAAGGGTTAATCCGTGAGTGATATGGTTAGAGGGACAAGCCCTTATAAGCTGGTTCCACTCTCACTAAACTAGCAATGTGGTACTAAACATGCGCACACAACTTACATGGCCCACACATGCCTAATCTTAATTGGGTCAGGATGTCACACCAACCATACCATTTTTTTTTTGGCAAAGTTGCCAAAGGTGTGCATACATTTAGTTTTTTTTTTGCCAAACTTCGACAAATACGTAAGAAATTCTACCAAAATTTTAGTAATATTGTCAATTTATCAAAATTTTAGTAATACATAAGCATTACTAAGGTTTATTTTGGCTACGATCCGAACAGCCCCTTACAAACCGCGAGAATTTTTTACCATATTTACCCGTGAGAATGTAAGTGCTAGTATAGCACAAGGCCACAAGCCGTCCGATGGGATAACTGATCGGCTCATATTCAATTTCCCAACCTAATTAATTAGTTAATGTTTGGTAGATGATTGATCATATGTACATTGTTCAGTTATTGCTGACGATTTGCAGTTTTGCACTGTGTATATACCGTACTCCCTCCGTTTCACAATATAAGACTTTCTAATATTGCACACATTCATTTAGATGTTAATAAATCTAAATGAATGTGGGCAATGCTAAAAAGTCTTACATTATAAAACGGATGAAGTACTAGCTAGTAGGTAATTTGACACCTAAATTTTTACTTCACATCGGTGATATATATATCGATCAAGTACATTAACTTGGTCGTCGGTCCTGCAATGCACATGCTCTTGCACGGTTGCACCTAGTCGGCCATCGATCAGGCCATAAACCCATAACTGCATGCGTGCTAGCTTGTCCATGCATATATCTGTACAGATGTACTAAAGTTTTTAGTTATAATCATGCTGTCATGTTGCCGGTTACTTTAATTACTTGGATTAGTAGGCCTGCATATCTTCTGTTCCTTTTTAATTATCAGAATGGCAGAATGCACGCTGGCCCGTTGGCCTTTAGGTTTTTAAGGGCCGAGCCTATTTGATTTATAACATTGAACGAATTATTATTATCGTGAATTAATTATTTAATTATAGAGATAAATTAAATATTAAAAAGATAAAGTTGAGAACTAACTTAAAACAAAGTGATGAAAGGGAATGAAGGGTAGAATGGTAAATTCTCTGCTTCCTTAATTTTCACAAGTGCTCCCTCTATCTAAAAATCAAAGACCTATTTCGTTTTTTTGCAAAAGTCTAAGACCTATTAGTAATCTATATGTGTTGAATTAAATTGTTAACCGAAACCCAAGAAGCCATCTTATTGCATGCAAGTGTATAGTTCATTTGTTTTGTCACATAGTGGATGAGTTAAATTACTTATTGGTCTTGGTGACAAAAGAAACATGTCTTGTTTTGGATGGAGGGAGTATATCTGAAATATCGTAAGTTTAAAAAAAAGATGGAGTTATTACAACTTAATATTATAAAAGAAGGCATTCAAAGAACATCGTTATACATTTTTCTTCTGAAAAGAAAAAAAAATCTATCATGCATACAAATTAAATATGCTGTTTCGACTTTGGTCGGGTTTGATCATGAATCACCTGGGACGTGACAGCATGCAACGATAAACAAAGAAAAAAAACAACCCACATATACACTCCAAGCCGTGTTTAGTTGTAAAACTTTTCTTCAAATTCCAACTTTTCCATCACATCAAAACTTTCCTACACACACAAACTTCCAACTTTTCCGTCACATCGTTCCAATTTCAACCAAACTTCCAATTTTAGTGTGAACTAAACACAGCCTCCGAATTAATAAATGCATCTCAAAATGAAAGCAAAGGTTAGCCTGAGCGATCTAAGAGTGTTCATGTGGGACCTATATTAATCGAGATGAAAGTGAGCATTCACTGCTACAGAAATCATAATATGTACCGGTTAGGAACCCTACATAGGTGCTAGATTTCCCAACCGACCTCATAGACGGTATTTGATAAGGAGGACTCAAATGTAGCAGTTTAGGAACTCACACCTTTAGGTATACGGTTTGAAAAAAAAAAGCTAACTCAACTCGAATTGAGTTGAGCCGATGCTTCAAAGCTACCAAAAATAAATAAAAGAAAACCTAATAACAAAAAAAGAGACAAGTTCACATTAGAGAATCAACAATTTCATAGATCACATAATCAAATATTCATCGACAAATTCACATCACAAAAATTCAAAAACCAAATCAAAGAATGCACCAATCACAATGGAGAACTCCACCTACCACCATCGCTCACTGGAGAGAGGAAGGGGAAGCCACCGCCACTGCACAGGGGAGAATGGGAGGTTATGTGGAGACGAGGGAGAAGCCATCGAGGGGAGGCGCTGTTGAGGGGAGGTGAGGGAGGTGATGTTGAGGTGGACGTCGCCTCCTCCCGCTCGCTCTGCCACCGCCTCATCGAGCCCCTTTCGAGCCGCGACGCTAAATGTGGGATGTGGGGGAGAGATCGAGAAGGAGAGAGAACCAGCTAGGTGGAGAGGAGGCGGCCTTCGGCGCTTTTGGTGCTGGGGAGAGGCGGCCGGCCGCCGCTCACCGGCGGACTCAGAGAGGAGAGGGCGATGCCAATACCCCCAGCGGCCAGCGGCTAGCCGCTAGCTCAACACGGCAACAACGCTGTGCGTGTGCGACCCTCCCCAACAGGCGGCAGCGGCAGCACGCCCTTCCCCTCCGGTTGCCCTCTCCACCGTCCTGTCCCCTCCTTTCCCCTCTCTTCCGGCGGTGCAGAGGTACGGCGGCGCGGCGGGGCAGCGCGCGCGGCGGCGTGGCGGCCACGCACAGGCGCGGCAACGCCACGCCGCAGAGGCGTGGCGGCGGCGCACCGACGCAGCACACAAGCTGAGAGCGTCTCTAAGACACACATCGAGAGAAGGATTCACAAACTCTGAGAGGTATTTCTTGATCTTTATTTCTGTGTTCTTTTATCCCTAATTTCCAATCTGATGCTATCCCTAATTAGAACATGATTTGAGGTGAATTGTTGTGGATCAGTGGTTGAACTTGTGGTGAATTGTTTTGGATCAGCGGTTGAACACTTGAACTTGAATGATTGATGTATCAATATTTGTGGAATGATGGATCATGAAAATATTTCTGTTTTTGCTGAATTTTGATGATGTTATTCAGTATTCAAGTAAAGTATCATGTTATTTTTGGGCTGAATCGATGGAGTTGCTACTCACTGCGGGGCCCCGCAGGGGTCGGGGGCGGGGGATGATTTCCACCCGCATGTCCACTCGGGGCCGGGGCGGGTGGAGGGTTCGGGGGTCGGGGGCGGGGCTATTCCAGCCCGCCCCGCCCCGTTGCCATCCCTACTAATAAGTCGCTCTGTTTTGTATGCGTAGGAGATTAGCTCCCAACACAGATAGTACACTACTATAGTGTATATAGACTTGCATTGGCTCGCGACTGACATGCAGATCCACATAAGTTGGGCCGGAATAATGGGAATCCCAACTCCGTGCGGGCCCATGTTAGCTGGGCCGACAGGGGAACCTGACCTCGGCGCTGACCCATGTGAATTGGGCCGTAATGCGCGGGCCAATGTAAGTTGGGCTGGAATGAAAATCCCGCTTCATGTTAATTGGGCCAAACGGGAATCCCGCATATGTTAGTTGGGCCGGAACGGGATACAAACGGATCGAACGGCCTATGACTGCGTGGGCTGTTAGAGAGACCGACGTGTATTAGGCCCAAGTATTGTGGGCCCATAAGAATGTTACAGAGCAAGAGCATTTGGGCCTGTCTTTTTTTCATCTTCATATTTTGTACCTGAGCATTTACGTTAGTTTCATCTTCATGTAGTTTGAAAAGATGAGATTTTTACAATGGAATCAAATTCGTATATATATCCATTCGTTCGCAAAATACCTCAAGACTTAATTTATAAGCTTGCAATGTGTGTTGTTTGTGATTACACAGCTAAAAAGAAAGAGAGAAGAACAAACAAAGAAACGGCCAAAGAAAAGGCCTGAATCAACAAGAAGTTCCTAAAATCAAATTAAAACCGAATTTCTATGCACTGAATTCATCTGAACCAATAATTCAGAGCAAGCCAGGGCGGGAGTGGAAGGGGAACTGGTACATCAAGATTGGAGCTGATGATGATGATGATCCACTCTTCTTCTTCCTCATCTCGACCTTCTCCACACCAGCATGATGATCACCATCTGATCCTCCTCCAATCTTCTTCTCCTTCTCACCAACTTCAGCAGCATCTGCATCCTTCGACTTCGAGCAGTACAGATTCTTCTGCTGCTGATTCTGATCTACAGGTTGCTGCTGCTGCTGCTTCGCCGGCGACACCTTCTTCTTCCCCATCATCCCAGCACCCAAGCAGCTCAAACCCATCACTTACTACTCCAATTGATCCTCCTCTCAATCGTATGTATGTACGTGTTCGTTGTTGCTCACTTGCTTGCTTGCTAGTTTTGCTATGATCAGATTGATCTGGGGCGAGCTGGTTTTATAGCTGGAGGTTAGGAGGAGGAAGACGACGACTGAACTGCTCAGGTGGTTTCCTTTCGTTGACTCAGCTAGCTAGCTGCTGCTGCTGCTGCCTTGGTCACCAAGGTTCTTCGTCTCTACTACGCTTGCAGGCTACTCATCTTCTGAATTCCGAGTGAGTAAATTTCGTGGTCAAATTGGATACAATTCGAAAGAGAAAAGGGGAAGAAGCATCGCGTCGCGCGTGTGCAACTGGACGAAAGTGGTGATGGTGACTGAAAGTGACACCGGGGTAATTAACACGAGGTTATCTTCAAATACCACGGATTTTCCCTTCTTTTTCTTAGAAGCACCATTGTTCTCATCCCTCCTTTTCCCAGAAAAACTGCTCCCTCCCCCCTTTAAAAAAAATCACTCATAAAAAACGCATGAAAAACAGGTATATATATCTCTGGATCCGTTGTAATGCACAGGCACGTAACTAGTCAGATGTCACTGTTGTTCGTCCTCATCTTAACAGATTGGTCCCTGACTATAGATGTTTCTAATCAATAAATATATAAATCTCACGGTTTTTGCAGTTGTGGAATTTGTACATCTTGATCCTTCTAGTATTTCTTAATATCATAGACCTAATAAACCTCACAGTTTTGCAGTTCTGGAACTTTTACACTGAGATCCTTCTGGTACTCTTATTATATAAATAAACATTTTCCATTATACAGATGGATCTTTTTAGTGTATTTCGTGCCACACTCAGCAAATTTCTCAACGTCGTCACTTGTCAGCTGCCCAAAAAAAAAAAGTTGAATTTACTTAATTTTTAATATCTTTTTGTTATAGTTTGTTTTTCAGTGTTGCACATATATAAAATATTTATCTATTATTTTTTGTCGCAAATAAACGTTAATTACGGTTTAATCACCCTTTGTCAGCTGCCAAAAAAATTGAATTTTGAAACTTATTTTTTAATATCCTTTTATTATAGTTTGTTTTTCGGTGTTGCACATATATAAAATTTTTATCTATTATTTTTTTTTTGTCGCAAATTACGGTTTATAATCACCCGTAGGTGAAATGGAGGTGCGAAACGGTAGGAGCGAAAGCATCTGGTGCTGAGGATGTTATGCACTTGTACTTCAATGCTTTCGTTGATGTCGATGAGCTAAAGTTTTTATTAGCTTAATAAAGGTCCATTTTAGAAATAAGTTTACGGACGAGTCTCTGTTTGTTGAATAAAATATGGGATGGAACCAGCTGTAAAAGTTGCTGCAGTTTTTCTCTGAGGTTGTAGGTTTGGTGTTTCTCAAGCTCCAGTTACTGGCATGCGGGCCCCGCTCCTGAACGATCTATGGGGCCAACAATATCAGATAATCAGAACAGCCCTTAAACCACAACTCGAGCGCACAAATCTCTGATGACAAATATCCCACATTTACATGAACATGTACCAAATTCAAGCCACCATGGAATTCAAAAACAGCACGTTTGGTGGCTCTGAAGTCATAAGACTTAAAAAAGTTCTGAAAAGTGAAGAGGGTGACGAACTGAAACTCGTATAAATATATGATAATATTACGCCAAAAGATCACTGATTCTTAACAAACTCTTTGCAGCTACAGACACTGGAATTCATACCGTACTATTACTGATTGACAAAGCCAGAAATTTGCCCAGGATACACAGAAGAACCGTATATCATCATTCACCCAAGGCAGGCTGCTCAAGCTGCCCAATCTTATTACCCAACACCATAATCCCCTGAAAAACCTCAGTTCTCCATGCGGATGATGCAGCGGATGCCCTCGCCCTTGTGCATCAGGTCGAACGCCGTGTTGATCTCCGAGAACGGCACGCTGTGTGTGATGAACTTCTCCACCTCCAGCTCCTGAATTCACAACAGCGGAGGTATGCATATAAGAGCATGGACACACCCAACTTTCAGAAGTTCTTGATTGAGGTCGATGAACATTTGAAGATTTTGCGACTACTCTTAGTTTGTAATAGTTGGATAAAGCGAAAGGAAGGATTCGCGATTTGTATTCACCTTCTTCATGTAGAGCTCGACGACGTTGGGCAGATCGGTGCGTGGCTTGTAGTTGCCGAAGAAGGTTCCCTTGAGAGTCCTCTCGTTCAGGAAGTTCATCGGGTGGGTCTTGAACTCGGCGTCCTTGTGTGGCACGCCGACCAAAACAGCAACACCCCAGCCCTGGATTCAGAACATATAATATATTTAGCATCTTGTCGAATTAACTGTATTAAGTGGACAATATGCTGTTTTCAGATCTTACATCATGAACACATTCAAATGCTTGGATCATGGCGTTGATGTTGCCAGTGCATTCAACGCTGCGGTCAACTCCGCCATTGGTCATCTCAGCAAGTACCTAAATTACCATAACACACTGTATCAGTACAATCAAGTGATACAGATTTTCCTTTTCCTGATGTAAGGGAACATACATACCTGCTGAACTGGCTTGTCATGGTCCTTTGGGTTCACAAATTCAGTGCAACCAAATTTCCTAGCTGAAGATATACAAAATATATAAGATGACTTTAAAAGACCATCAAACAAACTGATGATCTGGTAAATCAAGAGGATTTTACCTTCTTCAAATCTGTTGGCGTTCAGGTCAATGCCAATGATCCTTGACGCTCCTGCAATCCTTGCACCTTCTGCGGCCTAATCAGACAATATGTAGAGTAATTAGATGGATCTCTCATTGTAATTGAGAACATTCAAGGTGAGTTCAGACACTCACAGCAAGGCCTACAGCTCCTAGACCAAATATCGCCACCGTCGAACCCTTTGGTGGCTTTGCCACATTGATTGTAGCACCAAGACCTACAAAAGGAAATTGCGACTCAGCATCTCAACTTACATTCTATCAAGTAAGAAGAATGCAAGAAACAAAAAAAATTCTGCTTACCAGTAGAAATACCACAGCTAAGAACGCAAACTTTATCAAGTGGAGCTGCCGGGTTGATCTTCGCAACGCAACCAACATGCATGACAGTGTACTCGCTGAAGGTCGAAGTCCCGACGAAATGGTAAATGGGCTTCCCGTTGATGGAAAAGCGTGATTTGCCATCACCAATCATCACACCCCTGTCAGTGTTGATCCTGAGCAGATCACACATGTTGCTCTCTGCTGACTTGCAGTGGGCACACTCCTTGCACTCCCCAGTGAACACAGGGAGAACATGGTCACCAGGGGCAAGATCAGTCACACCCTCTCCAACACTCTCCACAATACTGCAGAAATGAATAAATTTCAGCAGATATGAACAATAGGAATCTTTTACTCAATGGAAGTGTTAAAAAAAATAATCCACGCTGTATTTCAGAAAATAGAAAGGGTACCATGAATATGTTAGGTAGCATAAAGGTCAAGCAATGCCTAATTTATATGCCCTTTGTCAACTGGAAAATACAAACTTATTGAAGAGAAGTCTTCTAAAGGGTCAATCAACGCCTATCACAAATAAATCTGCCAACTTCAAAAATAAACTACCAACTACTAACTGAAAGAAAAAGTTTCTTCCTTGTAATAAGTTATAAATTGATAAATCTATCAAGATCCAACTGAAGACCCACAAAAAAAGCACACATTTATAATGTTTGACACAGGCAACAGCATGTGCCCATATGATTCTTTCCCATGTTGTCCAGATTACCTCAGCCAAATGTTCTACTAATGCCAAGCCAATAAACAATGAACCCCCCCCCTAAACTGCAATTAGAGGAAGATTCAACCACAAAGCATAGTTTTAAGTACTTAACAACATGCCACATCAGCAACCAGAGCAGTAGAGTAAACCAAGAAGTAACAACGAGCCAATTAATTAACAACACAACACACCAGCAACCAGAGCAGCAGAGTAACCAAGTAGTACTAACAAAGAATCAATTAATTAACAACAGGCCACACTAGCAACCACAACAGTGGAGTAACCAGGTAGTAACAACAAATCAATTAACTAACAGCATGCCACATCACACATCAGCAACAAAAGCATGCATCAGAGCAACCAAGTATTAACAAGAAACAAAATCAAGGAAGAAGATGCATAAAAGCACATACCCTCCAGCTTCATGGCCGAAGATCCGAGGGAACACGGGAGTCTGTCCCTAAGAGATTCAGAAGCCACACAAGAGGCGCAAGTCAACCACACATTGGAGCAGCTATGGATGGATAGGAACTGAAGAAGAGGAGGTGAGTAGATACCTTGGCCTCCCAGAAGTAGACGTCGGTGTGGCAGAGCGAGGTGAAGAGGATCTTGACGCGCACCTCCATGGCCTGCGGCGGCGCCACCTCCACCTCCTCGATCACCAGCGGCTTCGCGGCCTCCCATGCCACCGCCGCTGCACAGATCCAGCAAAATCACCCACCAATCCACCAAAAAAACATAATCCTGAATGACATTTTTCACTAAAAAAAAAGATATGCTTTTCTCCACAGCTTCTGCAAGATCGGTAATGTTCACCCAAGAAAACTCTAAAAAGAACACAATCCAAGAATTTCATCTACAGCGCCGCTCCAGTAATAAAATGCCTAAAAGTTCGCCCAATCCAAAGCAAAATCGAACCAAGAAGAAACAGGGAGGGGAGGAAAAGCACTGACCTTTGCACTTGATCACCTTCCCTGCGGTCGCCATTACTCTCCTCCCCACAAAATCCCGCACAAACCACCAAACCAAACCAAACCAAAATCCCTCCTCCAAAGAATCTCACTCACTCACTCAAATCACACAGATCAAATCAAAACCGGTGAGGAGGCTAGATGAACCATCCCCGTCTATATATAGCTCCTCCTCCTCGAAGGAAGAAAGGAGAGGATGGAGGATGGAGGGTGAGGTTTCGCCACTTCCTTCTTCTTGTCTTCTTGGGTAGCAAACCACGGACGGAGTGGGGCGGCGTGGCACACAAACCGGGCCTCCTCCCCCTCCACCTGGAAGCGGAATTGCAGCCGCTGTTTTCGCCTCCCCCGACGCCGATGGTGAGTGGCCGTCGGATGCGCGACGGCCGGCGAGATCTGCGGCTGGGAGCTGTCGGCGCTGGGTTGCACCACGCGTGGATTATTAGGAAAGTAAATTGATTTTAGTTAGGGCGTGGTTAGGGCCAGTCCATAACATTATACATGATTTTTATAAACTCTAAATTATCAAGACACTACTCTTTCAATTTAAACCCAACTATTCCATATTTCAATTTAATGCTATTTATCTCACATGATGTTTTGGATGTTGTGTAAAAACCGGTTTTCTTCTCTTTCCTCATTTATTTACTTGTCACATCATTTTTTTTAGATGACGACTTATTTAATGATATGTACATTATCCTAGTCATTGGGTTTAGAATACACTTACCACTACCTCCGTCCAGAAAGAAGAAAGAACGTAGCTTTGTACTGTTTATATGCCACGTCTTATTATTCGTTTAAAATTTCATTTATATTTCAATTATTATTAGATGATAAAATATGTAGTATTTTGTGTGTAACTAATTCCTTACATCTATCTATCTATCTATTATATTATTAAAACAGCTTTGAAAGGAGGCACCACGTTCGCTGTGGGGGCTAGAAATTCTCACATTAATCGGAGAAAAAGAAAAAAAAAGAAAAGGAGAGTCCAAGTATAAATACAATATAAAAATAGCTAAAATTCGGAATTAAAAATAAGCAATATTGAAAAAAATTTCCATATAAGTACCCAATACGAGAATAATCAAAATTCGAAATAAAAACTATTATATTATTAAAACAACTTTGAAAGGAGGCATCACGTTCGCTGTGGGGGCTAGAAATTCTCACATTAATCGGAGAAAAAGAAAAAAAGAAAAGGAGAGTCCAAGTATAAATACAATATAAAAATAGCTAAAATTCGGAATTAAAAATAAGCAATATTGAAAGAAGTTTCCATATAAGTACCCAATACGAGAATAATCAAAATTCGAAATAAAAATAAAAAAATCCAAAATTATAAAAATAAAAGGATAATCAAGTAGGAATACAATTTAAAAATAGCTGAAATTCGGAATTAAAAATAAGAAATATTAAAAGAAGAGTCCATATAAGAACCCAATACGAGATTAATCAAAATTCAAAATAAAAATAAAGTGACATCTAAAATTAGAAAAGAAAATGAGAGTTTTAAGTAGAAATACAATTTAAAAATAGCTGAAATTCGGAATTAAAAATAAGCAATATTGAAAGAAGTTTCCATACAAGAACCCAATACGAGATTAATCAAAAGTCGAAATAAAAATAAAATAAATCTAAAATTAGAAAAATAAAATGATAGTCCAAGTAGGAATGCAATTTTAAAATAGCAGAAATTCGGAATTAAAAATAAAAAATATTAAAAGAAGAGTCCATATAGAACCCAATATGAGATTAATTAAAATTCGAAATATAAATAAAAATAAAGTCCGAAATTAGAAAAAAAAAGAAGAGTTCAAGTAGGAATACAATTTAAAATTAGCTAAAATTCGGAATTGAAAATAAGCAATATTGAAAGAAGAATTCATATAAGAATCCAATACGAGATTAATTAAAATTCAGAATAAAAAATAAAATAATATTCAAAATTAGAAAAAACTAAAAGAGAGTTCAAGTAGAAATAAAATTTTGAAACAACTGAAATTGAAAATAAAAATATTAAAAGAACACAATACGGTATTAATTAAAATTTGGAAAAAATGAAATTATAAAAAGAAAAATAAGATTTCAATTAGGAATATAATTTATAAATAACTCAAATTTGTGATAAAAATAACGACTATTGAGAGAAAATACCATCTAGAATACATGACCAGATAAATTAAGTCACATGCTTATAAAGGAGTAGAGTGGCGGCGGTTGATACGACATATAAAAACTGTTAATAAAACACCAAATAAAATCCTAATGACAATTAAAAGGAGGGACGACAGGCATGCCGTAAAACAAAAAAGCAAGGGAGTTGCCATGACTTCTATAAAGTTAAAAAAAACCATTGATAATCAATGACAATAAAAAGAAGAAGGAGCGGGCGGGGTGTATAGGAGTATAGTTGACGGGTCTTCTAGAAAATAAAAAATGAATTTCAACGATAGTTATGTTCGATTTTTAGAATCACAATGACAATAAAGAGTAGGCGGCAAACGGGCTATAGAGGAGCATAGTGATATCGTTTGACGGGACTTCTAAAAATTAAAAAAATGGAACCCAACAAAACAATAAACTCTAAAAGCTACATGGTCTAATTTTTAAAGGTTCGAAACTTCTAAAAAGTAAAAAAAGAAGGGAGAGAGTGGGCGAGCCGTAGAGGAGTACAATGGCAAAGCCGCTGACGGTTTGGCGAAACTTCTTGAAAAGTAGGAAGTAAAAATAAACCCAAACAATAATTATGTTCGAATTTTAAATCTCAATGACAATAAAGAGAAGAGACGGTGGACGGGCCGTAGAAGAGTACAATGGCAACGTTTGACGAGACATATAGAAATTATAAAAACCGAAACCCAACGTGACTATAAACTTTAAAAACTATAAGATCTAATTTTTAAAAGTTACAAGAAGAATGAATAGAAATAGCGGTAGATCAAGCAAGTAAATAAAGAAGGAGATGGCATAAGGGGTAGTAGCTGGTGTGACTTTTAAATACTATATAATTAAAAACACAGGGATGATAATGTCACGCCCAGAAATTTAGCCCAAATTTCCAGACTATTTTGTGTATTAAATCCCTGTCCAGGACCAGCCAGGGTACACAAAACGACAAGTAATATACAGTTCCAAACGTAAATAAAGCGTAAAATACTTACAGAAAAGGCACTTAGTCCTCACACCGAAACAAAAACAGCAGCAGCGGAAAAAGGCGATCCTAGCGGGGCTTCAGCTCCACTCCACAGGCAAAACTCAACTGGGGTCTGAGCCTTGGTCCTCTAACTTCGTCTTCAGCTCAGAAGCACTACACTTCTGAAAAGGGGGAATAATAGCAAGACTGAGTACAACCACCGTACTCAGCAAGCCACACCAACGATGCAGACGTGCAAGGGGAACACAAGGACGGTTTGTGGCTATTTGCATAAAGGCGGTTGTAAAACATTTTATTGAGCAAAACAGTAAAACTGTTGAGTAATTAAAGTAACATTAAATCTCCACTGATCAACGCTACACCACGTTGAACAGGCCCAACCAACCCACCTAAACTACAGTGCATTGGGTCGATTTATTAAGATGGGACTAATCACGGTGAATCTGGTCGACCGCCCATAACCGCGGGCACGGCTATTCGAATAGTTTTACTCTGATCAGAGGTGTACAACTGTACCCACAAGACACAGCCCCACGACACGTTTCCGTGCGCCGACATGCCACCACGACATACCGGAAAGAGGCCGTGACAGGACCCTTCGCATAACCCCCTCTAGCCAAGCACACCACACCTCAGGTTTCACCCCCGTTCCCAGCGGGCAACGGGCAGTCCCCTCTCGTGCCTAGGTGAATCCGGAAGCGACAGAGGCCGTCGCAGGGCCCGCCCCGCTCCATCACGCCCACCCTTGCCTGGATGCGTCGACTAGAGGAAAGATACACTACAAGTCCAGCCGTTGCCCACGCTGGCTTGTGGTAAGTACGATAAGTTCTTCCAGGGCATCCCGCGAACCGGTCCTTAATTGCCATGGGTGCGACCAGCAAAACCATGCACCCACAGCCCACCATTCAGTTGCATTTTAGTTGGATAATTACGACCATGAAGCATGGCCAGATGTCTCGAGCACGCAGCTCAACAAGATACTAGAATGTCTAATACTGCAATTATCCCATCAACTGAGCTAGTGGTAATTAAGCATGGCTAAGCATATAGTTCTAGCTAGGTCACATAAGTAACATGAGCTAGTCGATTCATTACCCAAGGTTGCCAAAGAATAGATATCAAGTAAACATGGCACAAGCGAGCAGATAGGTAAACCCTGATCCCGTGTAATTAGCAAAACATGCATATTTATTTGCAAACGGTAAAACATTTGTAAATTAGGATCAACATGCTCAAAGGGAATGTGTGACTTGCCTTGCTTCTTCACTTTGATCTTCCGAACTCTTTTCCTCGCGACCGCGGACTTCCGAAACGACGGAAACTACACGCTGGCACGCAAAACGAGGAAAAACTCTAATAAAGACCAAGAAAACAGTACATAAAAACTAAACAAACATGTAGAGCTCAATTTTAGATGAATTTTGCAAGTTGAATGGCTCAATTCGGAGTTCGAATGAATTAGATATGAATTTTAGAAGTTTTGAGCCATTTAAATGAATTTCTAGAATTAAACTCGATTTATTGCGCAATTATTAATTATTTTTACAAAGGAAAAGGATCTCGCTGACGTCAGCAAGGGGCGGCCGGCAAGCGGGCCCCACTGGCAGCGGCTCTATAGGGGAAAGGAGAGGGAGGGGTGGTCCACCGGCTGGTGGGCCCCACCGGGCAGTGGCTCAAGGGGAGGCGAGGGAGGCGCCGGCCGGGCTCGGCTCGGCCTCAAAGCCGACCGGCGGCCATGGCGACCGGCGGCGGCACGCGCGGTCACCGGCGGTGACCGGCAGCGCGGGAGACGGCGGCGGCCGGCGCGAAAGCGGCGGCGGCGGCCGAAGACGACGGCGCACGCGCGGAGGACGGCGGCGCTCATGGGAGAGAGAGGAAAGGAAGGAGGAGAGGGGATTCCTCACCGGCGAACACGGCGGCCGGCGCGAAGGGAGAAAACGGCGGCGACGACCGGTGATGCCGAGGCGCGAACGGGCGGCGGCGGCACCCTAGGAGAGAGCATAGAGGGGTTAGGGAAGGGAAGGCGACCATGGCGGCTTGAATTGCCGGCCGGAGACGGAGGGGAGAGAGGGTCTCACCGGCGCGCGAGGAGAAAAAAAGGCTCCGGCGGTGATTCGCGGCAATGAAGCGGCGGCCGAGGTGCGGGCGGGCTCGGTGAGCGCGACGGCGGCGATGGTGCGGCGCGGCGGCGCGACGCGGCCGACTGAAGGCGGTGTGTGGCGGTAG